AAAAGTGTTACACTGATAGCTCATAATTTTATGCCAGAAAAATTTTAGTGGAACAGACAGAAGTTCCCGTTTTTCCTGACTAAACAAAGATATCTCTAACTCCACAGAATAACACAAGTAAATGGCATAAACAGAGCTCAATGAAAATGACTAGCAGTAGCAATAGTCTAGCAGCAATGGTGGTAAAAGCAGAAACACTTGCACAATAAAATCAAGGCTTAAATAAAATGAAAAAGGAGTCTGAAGGGCTACAGAGTCAAGATATTTCCAGAGCTAGATTTTTTAGGGAAAAAGACAGCCAACTCAGTGAGCAGAAACAAAATGCAAGGAGGCTGAGGAAGACATAAATTTGTGAACCATGGCTGCAATTTGGCTCCTACCCACCCAGGATTCTGAAAGATGTGACCAGTCTGTACTGAGAGAATTGTTAATAAACAAGCTTACCTGTATAAAAGGTACATAAAAATCAGCAGTATATTCATAATTACACATATATACACATACCAAGGTTAACTACTTACTTCATAAGCTATTTACATTGTTCTTTTAATTTGATTCCTTTGTTTCCTAATATCCAGGAGCTTGTGGAAAGCCTACTGACCATAACCTTGATGCCCAAGCAGGGATTTCCCCAGAATGGATGAATTCATCTTCTTCACAGCTGCCATGAGGAACTTTGGGCATGCCAGCTAATATTACTTGGAGAATAATACTGAATGTTAGGGAGATCTTCAGGGGATTGTTGTGGCAGAGATTCTGCTGTACATTTGCATAACACAATGAATATTTTGGGGGGACAGATGCTACTCTACAAAAGTTTGTCCTGATTTATATTTCTACTGATGTATGTGGGAATTCTACACACCTATTTATAGCTGGACTGAAAATTTTACGCTACCCAAACTTTGTTGGGCAGCCCTTATCAGTTGGGGCTTGGCAAGTTAAAAACAAAAATCTATGATCTCCCTTTAGAAAATCCATCATGTCCTTTTCCCTCATTCTAACCTTGTCTCAAAGTTTCACAAATCACACATCACAACAAGGAGTTTGAAATCTCCCATAAGCCTAATCTTGTCATCTTCTCTTGCTCTTATTTCACATATTTCTTTGCTTTATCTCTTGTCCCAGAAGTCTGTAGTATACCTACTTCTAGTAGCTTTATTTTTAAACCTTTTAGAGAAGCAGTAACTTATTCTCTTAATCTAATTCTTCTTATATGAAAATTAGTCAATAACGCTCCCATTTATACCCCATCATTACCCTTTCCATTTGCAAGCACATTGCATAATAACATGTTCTAGACTTTTCTGCTATCCTGCAACAGTAAGACTGCTTTTTTAATATAAAATCTTTGTATCTCATAATTTTCTTCTGTCACCCATGCTGTGGATGTTTTGTTTCTAATGCTACTCGCCTACAGGCACAGACACTCAATAATTTTCATTTCCTTTTCTTGTCTGACTTTGTCCAAATTTATCTGGATGATCATTTCTTCTCCTATTTTTCCCAAAACAGAAATATAAAAGTAAATACAGGTACTGCATTTTCAGTTTACTTTCCATTTATGTGGAAAGCCTAGAAGCTTAACCCACAAAAGCAAGCATTCTTAAATTTTTTTTCAGATCAGTTCTCTTGGCTATCAGCACCATCACTGTAACTTGAAAACTAGTTTCGTGGCAGAACTGTGCTGATCAGTCTTTCCTTCACTTGCCAGAGGCCTGAGTGCTAGTCAGATGTGGGAACCATTAATTTTGGCCACAATGGGTCAGACAGAGCAGCTACTGGGCTGCTCTCCTCTACTGCCTCCGGTGGAAGAGTCAGCAGGAGAGGGGCTATGAATTAGTACTTCCGCAGCAGTAAAGGGCTCCACAAAAACAGGTCAATCAGCAAGCAGTCTGGGGAAGTTATGTATGTTATTTACTCCATAGAAATCCAAATAAGGAAATCTAAGACTCTGAGAAGTACTGCAATAAAGAATGTTATTCCCCTTGGTTTAACTTTGAATTTCCTACTCTTCTTAATTTGAGATCATTTTTTGTGTTGTGCACATGTGTAAAAACTATTAACGTTTAGTGAATCAAGCTTCAAGAGACAATCCTCTGGAAATTTTTAGATTAAGAACCAAGGCCAATTCTTATGCATCTAAGATTAATAGCCTTTAGACCAGGGGACAAATCTTTCCAGGACAAGATTTTCTCATGTTGCTTTTCTCCTCAGACTTCTACAAGAAGTTTCATTTATTACATAAACCTACATTTTTCAAGGTGCTCCCCCTATAAACTGCCTCCACTCTACCCAAAATGTGATATTCTAAAGTCAGCAGATCAGTGTCCAAATCCCAGCTCTGCTATTTACCAGCCATTGGGCAATTAATTTAATCCCTTTTAGCCTCAGTTTGCTCCTCTGTAGAAGTGAGAACAGGTTTTCCCTAATATTAGCACAGCCTAAGGCAAAAGGACAAATGAGGGCCAACATAGCATATGTCTAAATACCTGAAAGTTATCAGATAGACTATGCCCCCTACCTGCCTGTTTTCCACTCAGCCTCCCCCTCCCCCCTACTCCTCAAGTCTGCTCCTCTAGAATGTGCTCACCACCCAGAGGCCAGAGAGGCATTTGCTCTCCCTGAGCCTGCCCCTGCCTCCCTGAAAGCCTGGGTGGGAGTATAGATCTTTTGGGGCCAGAAAGGTAGAAACTTCCCAGGCCTCCTGGCTGATGATTGGAGTGCCAGAGGGATATCCTTCTGACTCAGGATTTACAGAAGACTCTAAGCATCTACCAAAACTAGACCATCCAAGGAGAGGGAGTGAAATAGGGAGGAAGAGAATGCAGCTATGTGGGGATCTTAGTCTGCCTAGACAGCCACTTTGGTGTCTGGACAGCTGGATGTAACCAAGAGCACCAATTCTTTCTCTAGTTTCCCAGGGCAGAAAATGTGACAACACATGCACACACACACACACACACACACACACACACACACACACACACACACTCAGCCTAGCATCCTCTGGCCTGGGACAGCCATTTTGGCTAATGCATTTATTTCCCATAATTCTTGTGTAGTCAAATTAATTTCAAACGTAAAAGGGAAAAAAATAAAAGAAAATCTTAGCTTGAAATGGAAAAACTTTCTTTGTGTATCAATATCTGTGATTTGCAGTGTTTGCTAAGGCTCAGAGCATTGACTGGGCACACCTCTTACTCATGTCTAAGGGCAGGAATGATTGTGATAATTGTAACTATCTCATAGAATTAAGTGGGAATTAAATATGATAATGCATATGAACTATGATTTATACCATTATCAAAATCAGGAGTAACTCTTCTCTAAGCTTGGCTTCTAATTCTCATTGGGAAAAAAGGTAATGAAGCTGTATCTTTAGAAAATGAACAAACCTGGAGGCCAGTCAGTGTTATTTCATTGTTCAACCATTGCAAGACATTTAGGGATTATAGCACTGTATTGGACTCTGCGCTTTAAAGATGATCAATTTTCTCATAATATTGAAGAATAACAAGATACTCCAACTCTGTGAGAGTAAGCACTAGGCTTGCCTTCAGTTGACTGTCTGCTTTATTGGAGTGGGGGAAACAAACTCCTTATAATCTCTCTTAGAAATGATAAGCAGAGATGACATTCAAGCAAACATGATGATCTCATATGGAATATTTTTAAGTAGCAGTTCCCTCCCTGATCTTTCACATTAATTAAACAAGTAGGTTGGTTCAATTTTTCGACAAAGAGTTTGCATGAAACTTTATAAATATTATATATCCCAGTTGTGACAATGATATAAAATTTATCTTTCTAAAAAACAAGCACACAGATGGGACTGACTTGAGGTACAACTTGCTAATCTCATACCAGAGAAGAAAAACCTATATTGTATAAGAATATAGTTATAAGAATAACTATATTGTGAGTACTGCAGGGCTTCAGGCCTCTGAAACGGAATTTGACCAAGGATATTCTGAGCAAATGGATAATACTTTATATGATATATATGCTATATGTTCACCTTACCTATAAGATTCCTACACAAAGTCTTCAATCACGCCAGCTACCTACTGAAGACCCCATGTTCACTGCCACCACTAAACCCTCTAAAATTTATCCATGCTTCATGATGTCCTCCCACCCAAACGTCTTTTAGGAAAACTTTGCCCTGATAGTCTCCTCTGGACTTCTTTCTCACGCCTTTGGTCTCTAATTTTTTTTAACGTCACATGTGTATATTTTACCTTGCTATTGACATTTTAAATTACTTAAGAATAGAGAACAGGGGGGGCTTCCCTGGTGGCAGAGTGGTTGGGAATCCACCTGCCAACGCAGGGGACATGGGTTCGAACCCTGGTCTGGAAAGATCCCACATGCTGCAGAGCAACTAAGCCCGTGCACCACAACTACTGAGCCTGCGCTCTAGAGCCCGCAAGCCACAACTACTGAGCCCATGTGCCACAACTAATGAGACCCACACACCTAGAGTCTGCGCACCGTAACAAGAGAAGAAGCCACTGCAATGACAAGCCCGTGCACCACAATGAAGAGTAGCCCCCGCTCACCACAACTAAAGAAAGCCTGCACACAGCAACGAAGACCCAACACAGACATAAATAAATAAATAAATAAAGATTCAACTCAAGGGCTACTTTAAAAAAAAAAAAGAATAGAGAACAGAAATCAAATGACTTTGTACCCTCCCAGAGTGCCTAGCATAGTGCTAATGGCTTCACTCTAACACAAAAGAACTAGTTAGTACATGGCAGACCTCAAAGGTCTGCATAATTAATTGGTGCCTAACCCGTTTTTTTTATTTCCAGAAGTAAGGTTAGACAACATAGCAGGCTATTTGAGCTCTGCTTTGTCCAACATGCTGTCAGACACCTGACAAATACAGAGATATGAACTAGGTAACATGAACCCTCAAATAATTAAGGGGTTTAGTGTGTATGTGTTCCTATAATGAATAATTAACAGAAGCAATTTGAGAGACTCACCACACTAATGCAGTGGGAGATGCAGTTGGATTTGATTTCCCTTTATGTTTCCTTTAAAGCATTCACACACCAGCCACCATCTTTTATACCACGGTTATAGGTATGTCATGTCTGGAGCCTCTGAGGTAGAAATTATGACAGTTGTTCTAGAAGCAGTGATAGAAAGATAATTAAAAAATAATTAACAAGAATAATTAGCATGGGGCCAAAGGAGGAGAGCTTTTATTTTATCAGCTAGATTGATGTGATTAAATGTATACAGAACACAGCTAGAAAAGTAACTTTACGTGGCAATATGGAAGAAACAACAATTTTTCATTTTTATTTTATTTTCCTGCTATTCCTTCCCCACCCCACCGAAAGTCAGCAAGAAGTAGTTGCTGTGATCCTCACTGCCTTTAGAAAAATTCCATTGAGCACCTCTCACAACATATCTCCATTTGACTGAACAGCTCAAATGAAAACACAGAAATGGAACATCAGGATCTGTCAACATAATGCTTCTGGGGGTTGTGTATTAGGTGATTACTTTGGCACTAGCTAAGCAGAAAAGACGGAAGAAGGCAAAGGCAGTAAGCAGCAATAGAATTTTTACTTGTTTTTGTTTATCATGTTTTACTTTCCTGAGACCAAGACTAAACTATGACAGTAAAAGAACAGAGGCATTAACATTCACTTTTAGCCAGTAAGGTGTTCCCAGCACTGATTGTGTTATAATTGGACAAGACAGCATACAGTTTTATCCAGTAATTTCCTGTTACAGGGAAGAAGCTGTATCTGCTCACGAATGGTCCCCTGTTGAGTGAAAAGCCCTGAGTTAAACAAGCCACTCAGCCAGGAAAACACGCTACGCGGTCAGACAGACCGAGCTGAAACACTAGCTTCTGTCACACACTAGTACAGTTAAGGGGCCTTAGGCAGAATACTTTCTCTCCCTGAATTTAAACTGTCTTCAAAATGGTGATGACAATACCTACCTGGCCTAGAGTCTGCATTATCATATATTTGAATGCTACTCTTTTGTCACAATACTTGTTTTTATTATCAAGTTCCTTAGCCTCTCAGAACCTGCTCTCCCACCTGCAAAATGTAGGTAATAATAATCTCATAGGTTTAGGATGAAAATTAAATAAGGTCTCTAAGAAAATTACCTTCCCAAGCTATATCATTTACCAAAACCCACTGAGTAAAAAACTATACAATGTTAGAAGGTAACTTTTTTTTTTTTTAAGAGTTTTCACATTGGTACCAGTAGATTTTAATTTTGTAGTTCTCAAACACTTTCGTATCCTATCCCTATTAAGGATAGGGAGCATTTTGATAAATGCTCCCTATCCTTAATAACACCTTTCTATTGATATTTCATTTTATTTTTTTGGCCGCACCACCCAGCATGGGGCACCTTGGTCCCCCAACCAGGGATTGAGCCCATGCCCCCTCCACTGGGAGCGCAAGTCTTAACCACTGGACCACCAGGGAAAGTCCCAGCAGGTAACAATTCTTGACTTACATTTATTGAGAGGAAAAATAAAAAAGAAAGGTATGATATAGCTATAGACATAGGCAGCCGAACAATGGCTTTTGTGTATTCCAAAGATCTGAATATAGTAATGCTTGGTAATTTTTATTTGTTTACTTGCTTTTTGTTTTGTTCATTTGCTTATTTTTAACATATGCAGGAAACCAAGCTGTGTCCTAAGTACTAGATATTTAAGGCATAAAAATATAATTAACACATCATCACACAATTCTGTTTCTCCCCGGAACTTGATAGCACTGGGGAACGAGGAAACAGAGTAAAAGAAGTAGGCAAAGCCTTTAACAGCGATTGTAATGGTAGGCAGGAAATAAGTTTTAAGGATATGGATTCTTCAGATGGGGTTCTCAGACGCAATTTACGTAGAGGACATTTGAGATGGAAAGTGGAGAAAGAACAGGGAGTCAATCACATTAGAGGGTGTGAGAATGGCTGACCTGTCTGAAGTTACACCACAGAGAGTTTCTGGTAATTTGTGTTAATCATCTCAGGAACCTCACTCCCCAGGAGCCGTGGTTCCCCTGGGGGGGGCGGGGCGGGGGTCACTGGATTTTAACAGAACCCAGTCTTGGCTTGCAGAGCCTTAGAACACTTTACTAGACTCATGGTACCTGTTAGCATGATTCATCAATTCATTTAACAAGTATTTTTGAGCAGCACCCTGTGCCACTCATTGTCCTCCTGGACTTGTGGTCTGGAGGGAGCAGAGGCAGGAACGGGCTCTCTCAAGTCTAGCTCAGATAAATAAACATTAAGAAAGTTTTATATAGATTAAAACCCCCATCACCACAGCCACCAAATCTAATAATACACAGTAGAGAGATTATGAGAGAGGAAGAGATTAAAAGTGCATATGAGTCTTTTCCCTCCAAGCAGGAGATGTGTGCCCTTAGTGGTGTCATATAATTAACTTACTTCTCCTTGTGAGTGTTTGGCACCTTGTTATACTGCATGACCCATTAGCTCTGAAAAAGCCCCAGGTATAACTGGTTGCTCCCAACGTGTTAGAACCAAGAATAATTCTCAAATGCTTCCACGTCCAAAAATACTAAGACTAAACATTACAGCTCAGGTGACTGAACTTTAATGACCGTGCCTGGAACACATCACTCAAATATTTATTGACTAAGTATGAACAACAAAAGGTTCTGAGGTAGAAGAGAATGAAGGAAGTTTGTGGACGATAAGGAAACATTTTCAGAAGAAAAAAAGAAGGAACACAGTGTTAGGCAGGCTGGCTGCCTCCATAATCTGGGGAATTCCTCATAGTTCATTCCAATTCTGCCTGAGACTCCCTTCCAAAACATCCTCAACTGTTAAGACAAAAGAAAGCTAACAGTTGGAGGACATTAAAGCTGATTACCAATAGGTTGTATTAACATGCAAAGCAATTAGGAACCACTAAAGAGTATTAACATGATCGGCTGATGCTTTGTGTACCAATCATAATTCTGAAACTGTGAAAGTTAACTCCATCTGCAGCCAGCCTTAGGCACTGTGATTCAGGGCTTCAAAAATGATACTTGTTGGAGGAACTTCAAGATGGCGGAAGAGTAAGATGTGGGAATCACCTTCCTCCCCACAAATACATCAGAAATACATCTACATGGGGAACAACTCCTACAGAACACCTACTGAATGCCGGCAATAGAACTCAGACCTCCCCAAGAGCAAGAAACTCCCCACGTACCTGGGTAGGGCAAAAGAAAAAATAAAACACAGAGACAAAAGAATAGAGACGGGACCTGCACCTCTGCGAGGGAGCTGTGAAGGAGGAAAAGTCTCCACACACTAGGAAACCCCTTCACTGGCAGAGACAGGGGGTGGCACGGGGGAGCTTCGGAGCCACGGAGGAGAGCACAGCAACAGGGGTCCAGAGGGCAAAGCGCAGAGATTCCTTCACAGAGGATCAGTGCCAACCAGCACTCACCAGCCCAAGAGGCTTGTCTGCTCACGCGCCAGGGTGGGCGGGGGCTGGGAGCTGAGGCTCAGACTTCGGAGGTCGGATCCCAGGGAGAGGACTGGGGTTGGCTGCGTGAATACAGCCTGAAGTGGGCTAGTGCACCACAGCTAGCCGGGAGGGAGTGCAGGAAAAAGTCTGGAGCTGCCGAAGAGGCAAGAGACCATTTTTCCGGGGTGCGTGAAGGGAGGGGATTCAGAGGCAAGAGACCATTTTTCCGGGGTGCGTGAAGGGAGGGGATTCAGAGCACCGCCTAAACGAGCTCCACAGACAGGCACGAGCCGCGGCTATCAGCGTGGACCCCAGAGACGGGCATGAGACGCTAAGGCTGCTGCTGCCACCACCAAGAAGCCTGTGTGCGAGCACAGGTCACTATCCACACCGCCCCTCCCGGGAGCCTGTGCAGCCCTCCAATGCCAGGGTCCCGTGATCCAGAGACAGCTACCCCAGGAGAACACATGGATGGCACACCTCAAGCTGTTGAAATGTCATATAGGTCACGGCGGCCGCAGGCTCACCTCACATCCGTACCCCTCCCTCTCCCCGGCCTGAGTGAGCCAGAGCCCCCGAATCAGCTGCTCCTTTAACCCCGTCCTGTCTGAGCGAAAAACAGACACCCTCAGGTGACCTACACGCAGAGGCGGGGCCAAATCCAAAGCTGAGCCCCGGCAGCTGTGCGAACAAAGAAGAGAAAGGGAAAGCTCTCCCAGCAGCCTCAGGAGCAGCGGATTAAAACTCCACAATCAGCTTGATGTACCCTGCATCTGTGGAATACCTGAATAGAAAACAAAGCATGCCAAAATTGAGGCGGTGCACTTTGGGAGCAACTGTAGACCTGGGGTTTGCTGTATGCAACCGACTGGTTTCTGCTTTTATGTTTATCTTAGTTTAGTATTTAGAGCTTATTATCATTGGTAGATTTGTTTATTGATTTGGTTGCTCTCTTACTTTTTTTTATATATAGATATTTTTTTTCCTTTTTCTCTTTCTGTGAGTGTGTATGTATATGCTTCTATGTGTGATCTTGTCTGTATAACTTTGCTTTTACCATTTGTCCTATGGTTCTATCTGTCCGTTTTTGTTTTTGTTTTTTTGTTTTGTTTTGTTTTGTTTTTTTCAGTATAGTTTTTAGCACTTGTTATCATTGGTGTATTTGTTTTTTGGTTTGGTTGCTCTCTTCTTTCTTTCTTTTTATTACTTTATTTTTTTATTTTATTTTATTTTTTCTTTCTTTTTTTCCTCCCTTTTATTCTCAGCCGTGTGAATGACAGGGTCTTTGTGCTCTGGCCGGGCGTCAGGCCTGTGCCTCTGAGGTGGGACAGATGAGTTCAGGACATTGGTCCACCAAGGACCTCCCAGCTCCACGTAATATCAAACAGTGAAAATCTCCCAGAGATCTCCATCTCAATGCCAAGACCCAGCTGCACTCAATGAAAAGCAAGCTACAGTGCTGGACACCCTATGTCAAACAACTAGCAAGACAGGAACACAACCCCACCCATTAGCAGAGAGGCTGCCTAAAATCATAATAAGGTCACAGACACCCC